AGAGGTATTAATGGTAATGAAGAAGACTAGGGTTTGAAGATATTATTCAAGAAGGATAGAGATGATTAGAAATTCTGAGGATTAGAATTTAAGAGAACACAATGAATGATGAATAGACCTGTTGCATTGCAAACGATTTTGAACCATGTTGTGTCAAGTCTCTAACCATTGGTTACTATTGTTTCGTGGACCTCAACCAGATAATCAGCATCTACCAACATGACTCAGTCCACTTGTCAGTGATTTCATAGATTTGTGCCATGTGACATAACAAGCAGGATCAAGTGAACTTTTCATCGGTGGATATAAGTAATACAGATATGAACAACATAGAACATAATGAAATCAATTGAGCCGATAAAATAATCAATAGAAAGACAGAGAAAAAAATCAAAGAATAAGATAAGATAAGAAAAAATAGTTGTTTACTGGGTCAATACCGATATTCCACTGTGAGAAATGTAAAAGATTTTTAAAAACTCTTTAAAAAAATTAATTGGGGGAATAATCTGTTAACATACTTGACCTCTTTTGCCAATAAGATTGAACCTGTTTTATTATTATTCAAGTGAATAATTAATTAATTCTGTATTGATTTTTTATCAGTATAAAAAAAGAAGAGAAACAATGATTGCAGTAAAAGATTTTTAAATATTTATTGATCAGGCGAGTGTAAGTCAGTCAGTCAGTCAGTCAGATGCAACGTAGAACTTCGTACGTGTAAGTACATCAGTTCATGTCGCCATACCACATCAGCACACACAGAGATGTAATTGTCAATTCAAATCCAATAGTAGAAGAGGTAGTATGGGAATTAGAAGTAATCGGAGAGGTTTGGATTAGAAGATATTATTCAAGAAGTATGATTCAATTAGATAAGGTTAGAAAGACAAAAGTAGAGGTGTTGACGAATCCAAAAGATTAGGATTTGAGAGAACACAAAGAGTGGATGCACCTGCGCCATTGCAAAAGATTTTCAGCCATGTCATTCAGGGTCTGTAAACATCGATTATTATCATCTCACGGACCACAACCAGCTAGTCGACACCTACTGACATGACTCAGTCCCCTTGTCAGTGACTTCATGGATTTCGGCCATGTTTTCGTTTGGACGCCCCTAACTTTCTTCCAACCTACTCCTACACCACAAAACAAAGCTCTTCGAGGCAGTTGGTGGAGGCGAGTCTAAGCTAATATTAGAAGTTGAATAATTCACTGTTGTAATATCTGTATTTTATTTGTTAAATAACTCGTACTTAAACAACACAACGTTACTTACTACTACGTTGTTCCACGATACCTGAGCACTGCTTGAAAGCTAACTTTAATCGTAATTATAAAATGTCACTACTATCTACCAAGTCATGTTTCTTCCTTGAGGAGACTAGTTTATCTGCACCTTTGGAAAAAAAAATCTTATCCTTATCCAGTTTCCATAAGTTTGTGTTTATTGTTGTTTATAGAGATGGAGAAACTAATTCGGTAGTTTGAAAGATCCCTTCTCTATTTTTCTTATCTTTAAAGAATATTTTGATTAGATCTTTAAAAGTAGGTTTAAAAAAAAAGTGACTAAGCCTTATGTTACGAAAGTGTCAAGTTATGTTAGTGGAATTACATTTTATTTGCGGCAAGAAATTTTTTTAAATATACATAGTGTTCTATTTGTTGAAGGAAGACGCTGACAAAATGCAGAGTTTTCTGACCACCCTAAGCAACAATGCAAGCATGTTCGGGATACGGTTCTACCCCTCGAAATGCGAAATGGTGCTTCAAGACTGGGGTTGCATCGGCACCTGAACTAGTGTTAGGAAGTGAAACATTCGAGCGTGTAGACCGCTTCACTTATCTCGGGAGTCACGTCAGTGCCGATGAACTGGTGACTGATGAAATCTAAGCATGGATACAGAAGGCTCGATTGGCTTTTGCCGACTTGCATCACTTATAGTGTAGTCGAGATATCCCTCTGCTAACCAAAGGACGATTTTACTGTACAGCAGTTCGCTCTGTCCTATTATATGAATGCGAAACATGGTCGGTAAGAGTAGAAGATATTCTTAAGTACATTGCTCGTATAACCTGGGACAACCGAGTAAGCGA